TACCCCTCACTGCAAGTTGGGGACTCGCGGGTGGACCGCGAGCCAAAAAGCTTTACGCCTAAACTTACTGATGTGTCATTTTGTTTGCTAATGATGCAAATATGGCAAAGACTCTAAAGTCGCATGTATTATTTGTTGAAAGGAAAAGAAATGAAGATACAATTTTTATTAGGTTTGTTGCATTATATTTGTTACATTTCTTTATTACCAATGAAATCTAGCAATTATGCTCATATGACTGGGTATAAAATTATAAACTTCTACCACCAACAAGTTCACAAAGTTACTGAATGGAAGCACTTTAACATAATATCAAACTAACTCAAATTCAAATTTCTTTGAAGAACCATTCAGAAACTGCTCATGAAAAATAGCACAGTCTAGAAAGGTATGAAATTATCTCAACTCTTAAAACTTTGAAATCATGATCTACAAGATGGGATTTAAGAATGCACTGACATTTGAAAGCTGATTATGGGTAATTAACAAAATAGACAAAATCTGATAAGACAACACACTTTAATTACAAATGGTGCAAATTTTACAGTAATAATTTTGAATGCAAAACTAGTTGTTACTTTCAACATTTTAAGCAAAGTATAGTTTCATCTGCCATTACTAGCTACCATATTCTTTATATATATACACACATATTCAACTACAGAATATCAAATGAACCAAAGATTAAATAAGTATGCTATCGTCCAGTCAAAAACACCAAAGTCAGAATATCAAGTACTATAGGTATCAATAGTCCAATCCCTTTGTATTTGGGATGTGTACTCAAAACAGTTGGTTTCTCACAGTATCACTAAAATCTCCTACTTTATCATACTATGTCCCGCAGTTGGTGGTTCTCCTGATACATGACATTTTAGAACCCTCAACTAATATATTACAAAGACAATCTCAACTTACACGCCTAGACCATTCAGAAAACACTCCCAGAGGAAAGCCATCAGTATTCTGCCACCTTTTGGCATTGTGGAAACCCCTTAATGAGCTAAATTGCATTCTCGACTCTCATATACAAACTTTGCCACCTTGAGAATTCATACTAAACATCCCTTAAAAGCCTTTCTCAATGCAGTTTCATCGAGGTTCCTTCCAATAAACACAAGCTTGTTCATTCTCTTCTCCTGAGGATCCCAAGGTTTGGCAGGGCAGCCTTCCAACATAGAATGCACCCCCTTCAATGAAAAGAATAACATAATTAAAACTTGGTTCCATAGAGAGAAGTAATGTTAGATGTTTAGGGAGTGGAGAAGGGATATATAACCTGAAAAACATAACGTCCAGTAGATTCGTTTACAGATATCACACCTTTCATCCTGTACAAATCCTCCCCTTTATCGTTCACCAGTGTTTCAAGCCAATCATTAACCTAGGCAGTTGAAAAGGTTGAAGTGTAAAAGCCGAAGCTACGAGAGATGAATTTGAGTAAAAGAAATTAAAATCTATGATCCATGGACCAATAAAGCATATCCTAAGGAAAGATCAACCATTCCTTTCTTTATCACACATGTGCAGGCACGTAAACACAGATGGATTTGATGAATTAAGGTTAATAATTTTCCAAGTTACCTCATCGAGATCAACGGTTCCTTCAGAAACTATGCTAACACTTGTAACTGCGGCATCATGCACATGATCATGATGATGTTCCCCATGATGATCTGGAAGTAAAGAAGCCAAAGCCCAAAAAGAATTAGCAAGACCATGTCACATCAAGCATAAAAGATCAATGCAAGTATAAAAGAAAACTGAAACTCTCAGACATACATAATGATCCTTCTCATAACATTTTAGTTGAATTCATTCAGACACCAAATCACACACAAACCCCATAATGGAGAAGAATTGACCAACCCCTGGAACCTCAACCTCATGATTTCCATATAGTTTAGCGTTAGTATGAAAGAATTTGGAGCTTTCATTGGTGCTTGAGGTGTTAGTGGGAAGGGATTTTGAAATACAAGAGATTTGAACAAAATCATACATCTCATACTCCATAATCATACCAGATATAGCTTGGATGTCAAATCTTTAATTCCCAACTTCATCTTTCAATGCTCATCTTCTTACTAATCTATACAAATGATATTATTTTAGTAATCTTACATTATGTTAGAATAATAGTACTAGGCTAGCAGCAAAGTAAATTTTTTTATAATAAAAATTAG